TCGTAGGAGGGACATTTTTTTTTTCAAGGGTGTTGCCAAAAATTTAGTATTTAGCATTAAGTTATCAAAGGCCGCCAACATGGCTAACTGCAAGAACGTTTAAAATTTCCAGTACTTCCTTGCTTTGATAGATTTTTTTTTCTTGTAATTAATTCTTTCTTCATTGTATTTTGTTAAAATAAAACCCTGGAAAAAAAGATACTACAATTGGTGGAAATGCAGGCGTGGGGGCCGCGGGGGGCAGCCAAGCCAGCCCCGCCTGCTACAACCCTGAATCTATCTATCTATCTATCTATCTATACACACACAAACACACACACACAAACACACACACACACACACACACACACACACACACACACATATATATATATATATATATATATATTTATGCGTGTGTGCTTGTGTGTATGTGAGCTGCATAAGTAGAAGATACTATCCAAAAGTTCCGGGAATTTGAATAAGACGATTGACCCAAATGTCATATGAATGCTACTCTGTGAGTGTAGATTGCAGTCCACATGCAAATGCACTACTTCGATGGAAATGGTGGGAACTAGCTAGCAGTTAGGCTGATGCTTTTTTTTTTCTTTCTTGGTTTACTTTTAAGTAAAAATTTCTTTATGCGACTTCTAAAGCTAAGAAGTATAAAAAAATACAAATCCTAGATTGTGAGAACCGTAGAGAATTTCCCATCAACACATATTGAAAACGCATATAAAGGTGTCCAGTGTTGTGACTGTGTATGTGTATGGCAACACACACACACAAATACACACACACACACGTGCGTGCGCGCATGCGTGTGTGTGTGTGTGCGGCCTGATTTCATGAACTGGTGGGTGCAAATATAGAAATTTCATCATGGGAGAATCCACGCGGCGCAAGTGCATGTGTGTGCGCACGCGCGTATGCGCGTGTGTGTGTGTGTGTGTGTGTGTGTGTGTGTGTGTGTGTGTGTGTGTGTGTGTGTGTGTGATGTTTACATACAATAAACGCACGCTGTCTCTGACATGTGGGTGAAGCAGGAAAAATTCCCGTATTCAAAATATAAATAAATACAACCAAAATAGAAAGTTTTTTGTTCTTGTCATTACAGAGAGAGAGAGAGAGAGTGTGTGTGTGTGTGAGAGAGAGAGAGAGAGAGAGAAGGAGAAATATATGTGCACCTTCATTTTAACATTTTAAACTGGATATTTATGCATCAGTAAATAAGTGCATAGAAAGAGGAAGCGGTAAAGCCATAGACAGAGGGGTGATGAACAGTTAGCTAGCTAGCTAGATAGATAGATAGATAGATAATGAAGGGACTAAGAAGATAGATAGATAGATAGATAGATAGATAGATAGATAGATAGATAGATAATGAAGGGACTAAGATGATAGATAGATAGATAGATAGATAGATAGATAGATAGATAGATAGATAGATAGATAGATAATGAAGGGACTAAGATGATAGATAGATAGATAGATAGATAGATAGATAGATAGCCTTGGATTTCATCCTCCTGTTATTTAATCCATAACATTTTTTTATCCCATTTCCATATTTTATGAATGTCTGTGCGTTTTTTGTGCCCTGACACCAAATCATCTTGAATCCATGTCTCATATATTTTCTGTGGTATTGTACACTTGTTTGTTTTGATTGCTTTTCTTTTGGGTCCGCCAAAAAGAAATCTAGTTTACCCACTTGGATAACGTGAAGCTATCCGATATAATAAAATTTGTCATAAATATTGATGTTTCCCTTCATTTGGTCGAAAAAAAAAACTTTTCCCAAACATAATCAAATAATTTAATAGCGAATTTGCGTATGAAAAGAAAAGTTTTGGTTTTAAAAGTTCTACAATCTCAGGAAAAGCAGCAGGTTGTACACACACACACACCTATATATAATATTTATTCTCGCGTATAATATATATATATATATATATATATATATATATATATATATATATATATATATATAGAGAGAGAGAGAGAGAGAGAGAGAGAGAGAGAGAGAGATTGAATCAATAATTCTGCAGCCTGATATATTGGCCGAATATTTGAGTTTAAATTATCCCTATAATGTTTGACCAACGAAAATAATATTCATCACCGAATTAAGTACACTTACATGAAAGGCTATTATGTTGAATATATATATATATATATATATATATATATATATATATATATATATATATATAGGAAAAACATATGAAAAACATTTTAGGGGTTACTCTACCCAAAAGCTCCATCACAACTCCAATTGAAAAGAATTTATCTAAACCCAACATAAAAAAAATGGGCTAAATAATAAAAGACTTAACATAAAACAAAAAACAATCTAAAACTTAAAGGAGGATTTTATTCTATAACCCGTAATTATTGCTAGAAAGAAAACATAGTAGAAACCTCAAGGAATTTAATTAAAAGACTATGTAAACACAAAGGGGATCTTTTACCAAATAACACATCATCAAATGCATTAGTAGCACACCTTAACGAGACTGATCACAATTTTGATTTAAAAAAAATGTTACTATAATTAAAAGAGAAAGAAATTTATAAAGACGAAAATGTTTAGAAAGTGCTTTAATCACTCGTTCATCAATATTACATTTTCGTGCAGGTTTTTATAACATTTCACCAATCTTGGCAGAACTTCTATCACAATATGCAATATTTAGTAACAAAAGAAAAAGTGATGGAAACAAAAACTAAACAAAAAGAAACAGATTCTAAATGAAATCGGTTAGAACCAAACATATTTTAAATTAAATAAAAATTTAATTTAAAATCGAGGGCATGTGTACTGTAGTCGCATCAACAAAAACATAAATTTAGTAGTGTTAGTCGGAAAAAGTCCTGAAGGACAAAACGCGTCACATGAAAACTTTTTCCACTTTGTCATCTTTTCCTAAAAGTATCTATCTATCTATCTATCTATCTATCTATCTATCTATCTATCTATCTATCTATCTATCTATCTTAGTCGTTTCTTTATCTAAGTCTGTTCATATCTATCTATCTATCTATCTATCTATCTATCTATCTATCTATCTTAGTCGTTTCTTTATCTAAGTCTGTTCATATCTATCTATCTATCTATCTATCGTTTCTTTATCTAAGTCTGTTCTATCTATCTATCTATCTATCTATCTATCTATCTTAGTCGTTTCTTTATCTAAGTCTGTTCATATCTATCTATCTATCTATCTATCTATCTATCTATCTATCTATCTTAGTCGTTTCTTTATCTAAGTCTGTTCATATCTATCTATCTATCTATCTATCTATCTATCTTAGTCGTTTCTTTATCTAAGTCTGTTCATATCTATCTATCTATCTATCTATCTATCTATCTATCTATCTATCTATCTAAGTCGTTTCTTTATCTAAGTCTGTTCATATCTATCTATCTATCTATCTATCTATCTATCTATCTATCTATCTTAGTCGTTTCTTTATCTAATTCTGTTTATCTATCTATCTATCTATCTATCTATCTATCTATCTATCTATCTATCTATCTAAGTCGTTTCTTTATCTAAGTCTGTTCATATCTATCTATCTATCTATCTATCTATCTATCTATCTATCTATCTTAGTCGTTTCTTTATCTAAGTCTGTTTATCTATCTATCTATCTATCTATTATCTATCTATCTATCTATCTTAGTCGTTTCTTTATCTAAGTCTCATTCATATCTATCTATCTATATCTATCTATCTATCTATCTATCTATCTTAGTCGTTTCTTTATCTAAGTCTGTTCATATCTATCTATCTATCTATCTATCTATCTATCTATCTATCTTAGTCGTTTCTTTATCTAAGTCTGTTCATATCTCTCTATCTATCTATCTATCTTAGTCGTTTCTTTATCTAAGTCTGTTCATATCTATCTATCTATCTATCTATCTATCTATCTATCTAAGTCGTTTCTTTATCTAAGTCTGTTCATATCTATCTATCTATCTATCTATCTATCTATCTATCTATCTATCTATCTATCTTAGTCGTTTCTTTATCTAAGTCTGTTCATATCTATCTATCTATCTATCTATCTATCTATCTATCTATCTAAGTCGTTTCTTTATCTAAGTCTGTTCATATCTATCTATCTATCTATCTATCTATCTATCTAAGTCGTTTCTTTATCTAAGTCTGTTCATATCTATCTATCTATCTATCTATCTATCTATCTATCTATCTATCTATCTATCTATCTTAGTCGTTTCTTTATCTAAGTCTGTTCATATCTATCTATCTATCTATCTATCTATCTATCTATCTATCTTATCTATCTTTATCTAAGTTTGTTTATATCTATCTGTATATATCTATCTATCTATATATCTATCTATATATCTATCTATCTATCTATCTTAGTCGTTTATTTATCTTAGTCTGTTCATATTTATCTATCTATGTTCTATCTATCTATCTATCTATCTATCTATCTATCTATCTTAGTCGTTTCTTTATCTAAGTCTGTTCATATCTATCTATCTATCTATCTATCTATCTATCTATCTATCTTAGTCGTTTCTTTATCTAAGTCTGTTCATATCTATCTATCTATCTATCTATCTATCTATCTATCTATCTATCTATCTATCTTAGTCGTTTCTTTATCTAAGTCTGTTCATATCTATCTATCTATCTATCTATCTATCTATCTATCTATCTATCTATCTATCTATCTTAGTCGTTTCTTTATCTAAGTCTGTTCATATCTATCTATCTATCTGTGTGTGTGTGGGGGGGGGTAGGTGGCATTCATATTGTTTACATTTTGCTGTATCTAGGACGGATAGATCGTGTGCAGATTTTTTTTCTTTTTAAAGTTTAGTTAGAGAAACAGAAATAAACCATGCATAGTGGTTGTTAGGTTTTACACCTTAAGCGATCATTTGTTTACATCTGACCTGCTTGCTAGCTATCTACATATATACCTATCTGAGATATTTCTGGAAGATAACACACTTATTTAAAGCAAGCAGTTTATGCAATTAAAGACAAGAAGAAATTGTATCCACTCGTCAGGTTGACTTGATAGATGAATTGAATTATTTTATATAGATAGGTAGAGACTGAGATAGATAGATAGATAGATAGATAGATAGATAGATAGATAGATAGATAATGTTCATTTATCTGTCTCTACTCCAAAATTACATCCACTCGTCAAGGGTGACTTGATAGATAAATTGAATTAATTTACACTCCTCAGTCCTATGGATTAAAGATTACATTCAACCATGCAACACTCGGTGTTGACCTCACTGTTTACTTTTATTCTCTATCCCTGATATTAAAAGCTTTTTACCTACAAACCTACCATACCTTAAAAAAACTATATTTTTGTCATATGTGCTTGCGTGCGAGTGTGTGTGTGTGTGCCTGTGTGTTTCATTGAACAAGATTGACAGTATATCTTTGTTCATTTTTTTATTATATTTTATCTTTTATGTGAACAATTGTTTTATCTTTACTTAATGGATATCAAAATTGTCAAAAGTTTTGTTCATTCCGAGCGCTCTAGGCGAAAAATATCTGGGGTTTTATACATATATATATATATATATATATATATATATATATATATATATATACTAAATGATGTATCAGTGTTATTGTAGACACTATAAAAGTTGTTTAAAATAGACATTCTTAATTTCTAAACATGGCCTGTAAATTATGGTCGTTTTTGGTCTCAACAACCCTTAGAGATTATTTACAATCGTTAAATCCAGAAAAGAAATTAATTGTATAAGAAAAACATAATAAAAACAATTAAAGTATCTTTTGTTTTGTTCAATAAAACATGTAATAAAGAAGGTTTTTTGCCCAAACACACAATCATTTTTAGAAGTCTGTCTCTTATTTTAATATTTTTACAGGTTTCCTCAAATTATTGCCTTTTAAAGGTCAACTGAAAGGTGTATATATTTTTTTTTCAAAAGGGGTGGCTGGTTGGACTGTAAATAAATAAGTGATATCTTACCTTCCATCCTGCAGAACTGGTACTGTCTCCTTTATCTTTGAAGTAAGGGACATTCTGAACCATCCAGTCATAAATCTGTGACAGGGTAAGCCGCTGATCAGGAGAACTTTGAATAGCTTTCGTTATCAAATCGGCATACGACAAATTACCCCAGGCGTTTCGACGCGATGACGATTTTTTGTTGATGGCTAACGCGTCTTTACCCTGGAGACCTGCTTCGCCCATCACAGAGGGGCCGACCCCTTCCTCATGCGAGGGACTGTTTTGCGAGTCCGGCCCATCCGATGACCCCACTTCTCGAGGTCGCAAGGGCCACGTGTTGGACCTGCCTCGCATTTGAGGTTTAAAGTTCAGATCCACGTCTGAAGGAGAAATTTTCGATTCCATCTTTATTTCGCACGGTGGTTGTGCGTTATTCATTTTGGGGGGCTTTTTTTTTCTTTTTTTTGGGGGGTAGGAGGTGGGGAGACTGATCCTGAATGCTTGTTAGTCAAGCTAAAGATGAATTTTTATCGTTACGAAGTGAACAGAACAATTTAAGCTTATACAGAGAATTGCAAAAAATATATATATATATATTTGAAAAAATAATATTAAAAAATAATAAAGAAAATATGTCAAAAAAAAAAAAGAAGGTAAAGAAAAAAATTAAACGTTTCTCTAGTAAGTAGCTATGGTGTCAAAATTATTTATTTGTGGGCGGTTTCAGAATTTAAGTTTCGACTTCTTTCCCTGAGATGAAGAAAAAATATCTTGTATCTCGAGCAAAGAAAACAAATATATATATATATATATATTCTTATTATTTATTTATTTCTTTTGCTGTAAATTTGTTAAAATACACGCACACATACACACACTCACTCACTCACTCACTCACACACACACACACACACACACACACACACACACACGTGTTTTTTGTTGTTGTTTTAGTGGTTTGTGGGGCCGGGGAAATATTTAGTATCACTTTAAAACGTCGTCATCATCTTTGGTTGAAATAGACATCTTCCGCGGATATTAACAAAATCCGGTTTTTATCGAAGTAAATCCAGGAATACAAGCGAAGATTTCTTTTTTTTTTCTTTTTTAAATCGATTTCTGGTAATTTCTTTTTTCAAATATTCAAATTCCGGCTGATAAATCAGGAAAAGATTTTTTTTGATTTTGTTTTTAAGGTATTTCTTTTCTTTTCTGTGCTTTCCGAGTTGTCACAACAATAAGAAATATCAGTAAATTTGCTGGTACAGGATGATTCAATTTGAAAATAACAATAATAATAAAAATAGAAAAATCCGTACAAAAGCTTAAAATCCACTTGTTTATTCTTTTTTTTTTAAAATTCGTACTGTTAAATTCGTAAATATATTCACATCCCTCTTTTAGGATTTGAGTAAGTGGTTGGTGTTAAACCACTACCAATGTTTTTGATATTATTGTGTCCACACGCGCTTAGCCTCATGTTGGCTTTTTGTTGAAAGCATTTACAATCCTGGGTAGACACATGGAAAACTAAAATACAAATGGTGTAGTCGCAATTAGTGGGTCGAGTATAATTTCGACAAAACCTCCCGATAAATACACCAAAATATAAAAGTCTTTTTCCTCTTATTACGAAATGTTAGTCGTTCGTAATCGAAGATATTTTTAAAATCCAAGCCTCTTCATTTTTGATGTCGTCAGAGTTGTTGCCGTTTCTGTTTTGTTGGAGGTGGCTAAAAGTTTTAAATAAATAAATACACACACATATATATATATATATACATATATATATATATATATTTATATATATATATATTAAAGATTATGTTGTATCTAAAATAACGAATGTAACGTAATCAAGTTGTACATACATATTTAGAGTGATTATGTACGAACATGTGTGTTTGTTTTGTTTAATTTTACTGTTATTTTTTTTTTTTTTTACTTTTGTGAAAGTGCGTCTAATGTGCGTGTTACTGTTTAGGCAATATACGCGTTGGCTCAGTTGATGATTAAAGACAGTATTTTTTCGCGTTGTTGTCGCTTTTCAAATGTACAATACGTAGTAGAAGTTAGTAGCAGTAAGAGCAGGCTATTATAAATGGAAGGAGGTTAGACACTTGTCCTTTCTCTCTCTCTCTTTCTCTCTCTTTCTCTTTCTCTCTCTCTCTCTCTCTCTCTCTCTCTCTCTCTCTCTCTTTCTCTAGTTTAGTTCGAATATGTAACTCCAGATGGCGCGTTGGAAATATTTCGCTGTGCAAAATATATCTAACTCGAGTCTGTGTGCAAGCCTAACACCAACAAACGCGAAGAGAGAAGGGAGAGGTAGATAGATACTATAGATAGAGAGAGAGAGGTGGAAAGGGAGAGAGAACAAAATGGGCCAATGTTACGTGTGCTCTCTATCTAGGTAGGTAGGTGTGCGTAAGTATGCGATTGTGAACAGAGGTAGCGGTTGTACGCACCTACCCAAGAAGGATGAGGTGTGGGAGATAAGTAGGTAGGTACTTGGTGAGTACTTAATTATTGCAGCAAGGGTAAGTAAATAAATAAAACAAAAACAAAAAAAACCCGTTTATTTAAAAAAAAAAAGAGCACTTTGCTGAAACGACTCGCAGATTAACTTCAGAGTTTATATTATCATTATTATTATTATTATTATTATTATTATTTGGTATATACGTTTTCATTTTGGTCACAAGAAATAACAACGAACCATGGACAAGTTAGTTGCGCAGAAATATTATTTAAAAGTTTTATTATTAAACATCAGCGAAAGATTTGGGGGTGGAAAGATATATATATATATTATTCATTTTCTCTACCAAGCTCAAATGTATTTAATAATTGTTCTTGTTCTTATTAGGACACTGTTGTTGCATGCATCTTCCGTCCGTAGAACGCTGGAGTTGTTTGACAGCACACACGCAAAACACTCACGCAGTTCCCCACTACTTATTGCAAAAATGTTATCTTTTGTACATCAAATGATGCTAACTCTTGTTTTCTCATCCATATCCACGAAAGGTTTATAATTCTTCATACAAGAGGAAATAACCATTTTAATAAAGATCATTACTTCCTCTAATTAGTTCTCTATCGGTCATTAAACGCGAGAGTATAAAAAGAAAATGTGAGTTTTACTTTTGTATATGTGCGTGTGCTTCAAAAACTGACCTGGGTAAACCAAGGTTTTGGAGTGGTGTATTTTGTTAGAAACAACGATAACATACGGTTTTTCTGTCTTCTTGTTTTAAAAGAAACTATATTTGAAAAGGAATTATTGCATAAAATAAAGAAGAACTCTTCGGCGATACACACGTATGGAAAACGAAAAAAAATTGTGACATTCGAGACTACGTTAAAAATAAAATCAGGAAATGAAGATGGTTGTGTATGGTGACGTTGTTGTAAGTAGAAAGAGAGTGAGTGTGTGTGTAAGAGAGAGAGAGACAGGGCGAGTGTGTGTGAGAGAGAGCGAGTGTGTGTGTGAGAGAGAGAGAGAGAGGGCGAGTGTGTGTGTGTGTGAGAGAGAGAGAGATAAATTGGTTTTATTATTGAGAGTTGATTTGTTTTACTGTACATAGAAATAAGATGAAGTTCATGGCTGACACACACATACATACACGCACATGCCAGTGAATATTTCCGAGTTCAGTGATAGTTTTAAAACAATTACTGATAAAAATGCAGAAGAAAAAAAAAGCCAAATATGAAACACGAGGTAGAAAAACTGACCAGGGTGTTGGAGAATTAAATGCAAATTCCAAACATTTGTCAGTTTGTTTGAATGACAGCAAGTTTCAGAAAATTTGATCGAAATAATTTGTTTTTTCTTTTCTTTATTTAATAGCTCTTCGTGTTTCACTTAAAATACTTCCTTATATAAACAGGTCACAAAAAGGGTTTCTTTTTAAATTAACTATTCGTTCTTTAAGAAGTGTTACTAAATTAATAAAGAAAACGACTACAACAATGTTACAGTTTTTTTAGTATCATCTAACTGTGAAATCTGAGTGTGTCAAACTGGCTTCTCTTTTTTTAATTGAATCAGGCCAGAAACTGTTGTTAGTTAGCAGTAGTCGTAGTAAATGGGCACTTCTTTGTTTTCTTTTTTTCTTTCATTTTTCTCGAGAGAATATAAAAGTCCCGGTTGTTAGTTACGAAACGGTTTATTAGTAGTATTAATAACTGTCAAGAAAGAGTAGTTTTATGTTGACTATATCAGACACTACATTTGCGTGTGTCTGTAAAAAAAAAATAAAAATAAATAATAAAAACGTGTGTGATGATCACTTAGAGAACTCGGTGGTCGGAAAATACGAACTTCCTTTCTTTTTTAATTATAGCTAACTGTCCATAAATAGGAGAGATATGTTTTTTTTTTTATTTTTAGTCTTTTTTATTTTTTTTAACCGGATTATTTTTAGGTGAAATTAAAACAACGACAAGGAAGACGACAGCGATACAAAAAAGATGTTTATGAAGAATAAAGCTTACGGTTTTTAGTGGGTGTATCTATCAACTGTCTTATTTTTTTTTTCTTCGTCCGTGATCATATATGGAAAACGTTTCTTTTTTTTTTTGTTTCTTTTTTCGTTTTTTTTTTTTTTTATTATTATTGAATTTTGCGTGATATATGCGTCCCTGCAAAGTGGAATGAATGTTAGGGTTTGTTTATGATGCTATAAATGTCTATGTGCGTTAGACAGTCTTTAAGATAAGCGACACACAGATAAAAGCAATGTATGGTTATATTTTAAAGAGATCGAAAGGCAAAACACCTTGTCAAGGTTATGAATATTATCAGTAACAATCCAACATGGAACCTGATTTTTAGCGTAAAAAAAACCTAACCTACACACACGCGCGCGTGCGCACACACACACATAATTTGGCTAAAACCAGACTTTCTTTTTTTCCAATTCTACAGCTGTTGTCACCTTCTGCTTATACAGAGTAAGTGTTGTATATATATATATATATACATATATAGTATGCACTAACTGTTTGCGATCTGTGTGTATATGTATATGTATATGTGTATGTATATATATATATATATATATATATATATATATATATATATATGTATGTATGTATGTATGTATGTATATATTTATATACGCGCGTGTGTGAGTGTGAGGCAGGAGAATTCTGCTTTTAAAGGATTGCCTTCTATTAGTAGCGACAGCATAAAACCAAGCTTTTTCGTAGAATCGTGTTATCCATAGGAGTGAACCGTAATGTTGAATTGGTAACGTGGTTATGTATTGGCGGAAAGTGTTGAGAAAAACCTTCGAAAAACCAGGGAGACGATGAACGGGTGAGTAGGAGTTGGTATGGACAGACAG